CGGGTAGTGGCTTGGCGCGCTTAATTGACTGCCCGTCGCGTCGCGTGCACGGTGCTAGCGCGTCACTCCTGCACTTTAACCTGTCGTCCCGCCAGCCCTCCAAACACGCCCACGAGAGCATCCGATACCCCAACTTCTTCACTTCGCTTTTTGCTCGCATACCTTATACGTTATAATTCATCATGTCGCGTGTAGGGAAGAAGACTGGCGCTGCCCTACTAGCCGAATTGCGAGCGAACCGCGCGGCGGGCAAGACGCGTTTGTCCACATACGAAGTCGCCGAAGAGGAGCAATTGTACGATGAGGTCGATGAAGAGGGGTACAAGAAAATTGTGCGGGGAAGACTGGACAAAGATGACTTCGTCGTCGGCGACGAGGGCGAGGGATACGTCGATGACGGCAGAGAAGAGTGGGATGACGGACAGGGTCAATACCACTATGCTGCCACGGATAGCGAAGAAGACGACGAGCGACCCGCCAAGGGAAAGGCTGGTATGACGCCAATCATCAAGCGTACGCACGACTTACAGCTAACGCGTGATAGCCAAGCGGAAACGCGAAGAAGATGAGGAGAAGCGAAAAAAGATCGACAATGGCATCAGCAAGTACTTCAGTGCGAAGAACGCTGCAAAGGCACCTAAAGTAAAGGTATACTACTGGAATACATCACCCCACCCAATATTAATGCTAATGCACCCAGCCTGTTGCCACCGCCGCCGACAAGGACTTCATGGAGGACCTGTTAGGCGAGATGAACACAAACCCCGTCCGCTTGTCCACGAACCGAATGCGACCCGTCAAGACAGAGGCACGCCGGAAGACACGCGTACTTTCACCTCCTATCTCGGAGAACCGACCGGCTCCGACTACAAGGCGAAGCAATGATTCAGACGCACACATGCCAGATACACCACCGGCAACGAATGCATACGTCGACGATGACGACCTCCCCGTACTCGACGACGATCAGCCTATGAGCGACCTTCCACTACAATCGTCACCTGTCGCCAAAGCCGTAGAACGAAGAGCACAGCCTGCGATCAAACAAGAAGAAGACGAAGATGACCTCATGGAGGTTGCTCAACCCACGACACATCATGGTGTGCCAATCACCAGTGTCAACATGGCAGGTAGGCGACCGATAGCAAAGCTCAAGAAAGAAGACTATCCCACGCCCGCCAGCTCCTCGCCCGTTGCACCTTCTACAGCACCTGTCGATGCTTCTTCTTGGAACGACGTCACAAGCAAGCTCAACGTTATGAGCAGCCCCGCTCCAGCAACCACTGGCATGGGCAAGATACAACCACAGGACGCGGTGGGAGAGGATGGTAGCTTACGCATGTTCTGGATTGACTACACCGAAATCAACGGCAGCTTGTGTCTATTCGGCAAGGTCAAGGACAAGAAGTCGGGCAACTACGTCAGTTGCTTTGTGAAGGTCGACAACATCCTCCGAAAGCTATATTTCCTACCCCGTGAATACCGTCACATCAGAGGGGTAACCACCGACGAAGAGGTTGGCCTGAGCGATGTATCAGACGAGGTTGACTCTATTATGAGCAAGCACCGCGTAAATCTACACAAGATTAAGCCGTGTACAAGGAAGTACGCCTTCGAGCTGGCCGACATACCCAAGGAAGCCGACTACCTCAAGCTCCTTTATGGATACGACAAAATGCCACTATCCTCTGACTTGAAGGGTGAAACGTTTTCTCACGTCTTCGGAACCAACACATCGCTTTTCGAGCAGTTCGTGCTCTGGAAGAACGTCATGGGACCATGCTGGCTCAAGATTGATGCTCCCGACTTTGGTTCTGTTGCAAACGCTTCTTGGTGTAAGCTTGAAGTTGCAGTCAGCAAGCCCAACAACATAACAGTCGTCAGTGCGTCGGACAACCTTGACGCACCCCCAATGACACTCATGAGTCTCTCCCTACGGACTACTTTTAACGCGAAGGACAACAAGCAGGAGATCTTGGTCGCCAGTGCTATGATCTACGACAACTTCTCCTTGACCGACACGACACCCGTGGACCAGATGCAGTGCAAGAGCTTCACTATTATGCGGCCGAACGGCGCAGCTTTCCCAGTAGGCTTCGACAAAGAAGTGGAGAAGGTCAAAGGCAACATGTACATGAAGAAGACTGAGCAGGAACTTCTGAGCCTGCTGATGGCGATGTTCCAGCGGCACGACCCGGACGTCCTCGTCGGACATCGCTTGGACGACGTGGACTACAGCGTTTTGCTAAGCCGTCTGCGTGAAAAGAAGACACCGGGATGGCACCGCATTGGGCGACTCAAGAGAAGCGACTGGCCCAAGAGCATGGGCAAGGGTGGCGGAAGTTTCTTCGCTGAGAAGCAGCTAGCTTCTGGCCGCTTGCTGTGTGACCTGGCTAATGATCTCGGAAAGTCTCTGATGCCCAAGTGTCAATCGTGGAGTCTTGAGGAGATGGTCCAGCTTGGGCTCAACAAGCGACGTGAAGAGCTCGACAACGAGGCCGCGCTCAAGACTTGGGCGACGACGAAGGAGGGTCTCCTCAACTACATCAAGCACTGCCAAGCCGACGCCTACTTCATCGCTGCGATCTCGATAAAGGTGCAAATGCTTCCGCTCACCAAGGTTCTCACCAACTTGGCGGGTAACTCCTGGGCCCGAACACTGAGTGGAACTCGTGCCGAACGTAACGAGTACATTTTGCTCCACGAGTTCCACAAGAACAAGTACATTTGCCCGGATAAACAGTGGGGCAAGAGCAAAGTAAAGGCCGAGGAAGAAGCAGCCGAGGGCGAAGAAGGTGCGGATGCCAAAAAGAAGGACAAGTTCAAAGGTGGTCTCGTCTTCGAGCCCGAGAAGGGTCTCTACGACAAGTTTATTCTGGTCATGGACTTCAACTCCCTTTACCCCAGTATCATCCAGGAGTTCAACATTTGCTTCACCACCGTCGAGCGATCCGATCTCTCGGAAGATGACGACAAGGTGCCCGAAGTCCCCACAAACCAAGACCAAGGTATCCTACCGCGCCTTATTGCTACACTCGTCTCACGACGTCGCGAGGTGAAGAAGCTCATGAAGGCCAAGGAGGCCACTCCGGATGAGTTGGCAACTTGGGACATCAAGCAAATGGCTCTGAAGCTCACTGCCAACTCTATGTACGGATGTTTGGGATACACTAAGTCTCGATTCTACGCTCGACCACTCGCTATGCTTACGACATACAAGGGTCGTGAGATTCTCCGCAAAACCAAGGACATGGCCGAGGAGAAGGCATTGCGCGTCATCTATGGTGACACTGATTCCGTCATGATCAACACAAACGTCGATAACATTCAGGATGCGCTGAAGTTGGGTAACGAGTTCAAGAAAGAGGTCAACGACAGCTACAAGCTTTTGGAGATCGACATCGACAACGTCTTCCGCCGTATCCTACTGCATGCCAAGAAGAAGTATGCTGCCATTAACATGGTCCCTGTCGATGGCAAGTACATCGAGAAACTCGAAGTCAAAGGTCTCGACATGAGGCGCAGGGAGTACTGTGCTCTGTCCAAGGAGACATCAACGTGAGTTCTCCAGCCTACGGAGGTAGATATAACGGTGTACTAACAATGCTTTAGGGAATTGCTCAACTTCCTACTTAGTGGTGAAGATCCTGAAGTAGTCGTTGAGAAGATCCACAACCACCTTCGCGAGCTGAGCAAACAGATGCGCGAGTACGCCGTTCCAGCTCGCAAGTACACCATCTATACACAGCTCGGAAAGAACCCCAAGGAATATCCCAACGGTAATTCGATGCCCTCTGTCCAGGTCGCACTTCGCCTTCAGGCCAAGGGTAAACACGTCAAGGCCAAAGATGTCATGAGCTTCATCATCACAGGTGAATCATCTGGCTCGGCCGAGAACGCAGCAAAGAACGCCTATCCCGTTGACGAAGTTTTGAAAGCCGACAGTGAGCTGAAGCCCGACATTGACTACTACCTCCACAAGCAAATTTTGCCACCAGTGGAGCGTCTCTGCGCGCCCATCAGCGGAACAAACATCACTCTCCTCGCAGCGTGTCTTGGCCTTGACACCACCAAATACCGTGTGAGTACCGTTTCAGGAGGCGCGCAACAAGACACGGAAATCCATCCTCTGGAGTCGCAGATCCCAGACTCTGTGCGCTTTCAATCGTGTTCGCCGCTTTGGCTGCGCTGCCGAGGATGTACGACAGTATTCCCATTCCAAGGTCTCTCTTCGACATCACCAACATCGGCATCGTTGCAGACCATCTCGCACAGTGGTATACAATGTCCTGGTGAAGGCTGTGGCAAAATACTACAGAACATCAGTGTAGTGGCTCAGCTCGAAGCCTCCATCCGCCAAATTCTCGCTTCATACTACGCAGGCCACGTTGTATGCGACGATCCCCAATGCTCAAACCGGACGCGTAGTATATCCGTCTACGGTCACCGGTGTCTTGGTCCAAAGGGACTCGCTCGAGATTGCTTGGGCAAGATGACCTACGAGATCAAGGAGCGCGACGTCTGGAACCAGCTGTTATACTACCAATCTTTGTTCGATGTCGATCGTGTCAGTAAGATGGACGGTGGCGTCAAGGCGGAAGACATGGAGAGGAAGGAAAAGATCAAGGTGCTGGCGGAAGTTAACAGAGAGAGATTTGGCACGCTGAAAGGTGTGGTAGAGCGGTGGTTGGAGAGGAATGGAAGGCAGTGGGTGCAGATGGATAGCCTGTTTTCTTTTGCGCTCAAGGCATAGGTGGTTTGGTTTCACAAAGGCGCAGCATAGGCGATACATACTCGTCCGGGCGCGCCGTGGGGTTCATCCGGTTATGGATCATGTCGGTGTTTTGCATATAGTGTTGACGTTCTTGAATGTAGCTTTTGACCATGATATCTGGAAAATGCTGTATTGCTTGGGTATATGTGTTACTGGTATTAAAAATTACATTGCTTTTTTGCTCACGATCAGACGTCGCTTGAACTATCGCACTGAAAGGCCCTGATCATACAGTAGCAATTCCTTGGGGTACGTTGTCGTTATGCGCGCCCTGCTGCACATTGCCCTTCAGGGCTTTGCGACAAGCTTCGTGGAAGACCGTAATGAATCGATGGATGTCGTGGAAGGAGTTGTATAGTGGCGCAGGCGCAACGCGCAGAACGTCAGGCTTTCTTTCGTCAACGACGACGCCACGCTCTTCTATGTAGTGCTGGACTTTATCCAGTAACCCCGGGTTCAGAAGTACACTGAGCTGCGCGCCCCGTTCAGCCGGGTTTGCGGGTGTGATTATCTTGTATGGTGGCTCTCCATCGTACTTGAGGAGTCGCGCTTCGAGGTATGCGGTCAGTTTAAGGCTACGTTGACGTAGCGCGTCCATGTTTGTCAACGCAAAGACGTCTGTCGATGCCATGACGGAAGTCATATCCAGTGCGCTGGGATTGCTGAGTTGAAATCCGCTTGCGCCAGCAATGGGAACGAACTTGTTTTCCATTCGAAATCGACTGCTCTTATCGCTTCCCCACCAGCCGCTCAGCCGTGGTCGATAGGCGAGCTCTGTACCGTTACTGGCTACGCCGTTTGTGCCGTCTGTTCGAGCTGCAGATACTTGCTCCACCTTTCCATGTCTCTCGTGTACGAAGAGTCCACCGATGACTCCTGGACCACCGTTCATATATTTGTAGTTGCACCACGCTGCGAAGTCTACGTTCCAGTCGTGTAGCTTCAGCGGCACATTTCCGGCTGCATGCGCAAGATCCCAGCCCACTGTAATACCCAGCGATCGGCAGTGACGCGTTATGAGCTCTATATCGAAGAACTGGCCCGAGTAGAACTGAATACCAGGCAACAACACTAGTGCGGTTGTAGGCGCGTGGTGTGATATGACTGAGAGGATATGTTCGTTGGAGAGGTAAGGTGAGGAGGCAGAGGGCGGGTCGATGGTAACAAGCGCAGACGGGTCGAGGTTGTGGTGGGCAATCTGAGAAAGAGCCGCGTACTACAAGAAGTCATTAATTACCAAGCGCTGATAGCATGTCGGCATCAACCTACATGATCGCTGGGAAACGCCTTGCCCTCGATGATGATCTTGTATCTGTCCTTGGTCGGTCGATAGAAACTTGCCATAAGCAAATGCAGGTTTGCAGTCAATGTCTCCATTACGACGACTTCGGTAGACAGTGCACCGACTATTTTCGCGGTCTGTTGTTTTATCGCATCATCAATGTGTAGCCATGGCGGCAAGCCTCCCTCATAATCAGTGAAATGGCCAAACACACCCTTAGATGCCCATGTATCCAGGTAGCGATTTACATATTCCTTGGTCCTCCGAGGCTGGAGTCCCAGGGAGTTGCCGCAGAAGTATATGGACTCTTCGCCGTCGTCTTTGCGCGTAGTCGCAGTTTTTCCGTTCAGCTGAAACCCGAAATTCCTGTTCCTTAGGTCGCCCTTTGTCGGAATCACGAATTCGTCCCTCAACTTGCTCAGGTCATCTTTCTTATCTTCGTTTCTCGCAAACTCGTCGCTGCACAGTTCCGCCTGTGGAATAGCGAGATAGTGGTTGTGGTGTTTGGGCATGGCAGCTGGTGATGGAGGAAAGATTACCAGGATTCGGACAAGACAAAGCTTGTGCAGAGGTGATGTAGCACTATCATTGAGGCTTCAGGGACGATAAGTAGATAGCTTGAGCGGGTAAGGCTGGAACAGTCTGGTGCTCGTACGATGGATTGTGGCGGCGGCACAAGGTGGGGTTTGTGCCTGACTCAGCGGTCTAGAACCCCGAGTGTGAGGGCGCGTCTGATTGGATCCCGTCGGTTGTGACATTCCTAGCTATGACCTCAGACTCGCGAACCTTCATTGCGACAGCGCCCTCCACATCCTCGATATCGCGATAATGGCCTCCCCTTCAACCATGTGCGCGTCGTGCCTGCGGATAGCAAGACAAACAATGACACGGCGGCCGGCCCAACCTATCGCCGCCGCAGCTCAATCGATGCGAGCGTACAGCAGAGCAGCACCGCACGCCACTTCGCGATCGCTATTCCTCGACTTTCTTGCACCATCATCTCCACGAGGGACTTCAAGACATGTCTCAGTACAAGGTTTAGCATTCTCACAACCACAACACATACCACGACGAGCCCTCGCCACATCATCCGACGCCTCCACGGCAAAGCCCGCCCAAGCGATCCAAAACCCACGCACCGACGATTCCGGCAATCCCATGCTGATCTCGATAGCACCCCGTGCATCGAACCGGCTTCAGAAGATCTCCTCGGGCGATAACAATCCGAACCTCGCATTGCGCGTAAGCATCGAGAGCGGCGGATGCCACGGCTTCCAGTACCTCATGGACTTGACCGACCTATCCAAGAACCCAGTGACCGAAGAAGATACCATATTTGAGGGAGAGAAGGGAGAGAAGATCGTTATCGATGAGTCGAGTTTGGAGCTGTTGAATGGAAGCACGGTGGACTATACCATGGAGTTGATCGGGAGCCAGTTCAAGATCACCGGCATACCAGGGGCGACGAGTAGTTGTGGGTGTGGGACAAGCTTTGATATTAAGATGTAGATTATACCCAGACATTTAAGTTTACACAGGTCGGTGCTTTAGCTGGAATTGGCCTCGTAATATACATAGAGTAACCCTGCATCTCCATAGGCAGCCTATCTTGAGCACCCTCTGCACGCTCTCCATGCCGCCAACATCCTTCGTACAAATTGAGGAATCGAACCGTCTCGAGTTTCTTTCAGCCATTCAGAGTGGTCGCTCTCAAGGTGAAGGTTCACAGCCCTGTATGCAGCACCACTCTTCGGATTTGACGATAGCTACTCAGATAGGCACTATCTGTCTTCTCTTCTTCTCGTTGCCCACTTTCTTCAGCCTCATGTATCGCCAACCCAGCCAGATGGCAAATACGATGACCGTCAGCGGTATCGTGGTAGCAGGAAGTATCCACCATCTTCGTGAAATGCGCAAGCCGTCGTCTCCGTAGTCAAAGAAAGTTGTGCTTAGAATCGCGGAGATGAAAGTGCCGGGTAAAAAAAGCATCGTAACGGCGGCAATAGTGATCATGGACGCAGAGTCACGCTGTGTCAGTAGTGCGACATCTGCAGTAGCGTCCGCGATTTTGATGTTAGTTTTCGAATCCCTCTGATTCGACAGCTGGAAGAGCTGGTATACTGAATTAAGATCTTTTCGTTCAGATGGAGACTTATACTGACTAGGTTGATTCTGAGGCTTGTCCTTTCATGGTATACACTTGTCCATCTGCTACAAGTATCGCAGGCCGATATGAGCATATCGAACGACTCGCACATGTCTGTTTGGTCCAAACTCCACAGCTTCGCGAAAGTTCCCACAGCTTCTTTGTACTTTACGTAAGATTCACGTAGAAAGTGCAGTTGTGCGTAAAGATCCTGGCTATCTTGTCTGAGGGTAAGCCATGATCTTGCAAGTTGATGAAGCTCAATCGTAGCCTCTCGAAACGTATCAAGGTTTTCGTCGTAGACTCGCTCCTGTAAGGGTCGTTAGATTTGCTTATCTTATGAAGGGAAGCAATGCGGACATAATGAATGAGCTTGTCACGACGGCTTCCGATATCTAGCTGCCACTGCTTCAGACAGTCGTCTGCAACTAGCGAATCGAGCAGGAAGTCGCGGTGAGCCAGGAGTGGCTTGATTTCTACAATGTCTCTCAAGCGAGAAACGGTAGGAGTAGGACAGTTGATGCAGAAGTAGGTAGTCTGGTTCGGAGTGCGTATGCAGTTGATGAAACTGACACCAGTATCCCAACCGCATACGTATTGGTAGCAAGTATCTGTTCATAAGATAAATCAATGTGTGTACAAGAGGGTAGACATGTATCGTACCGAACGAGAGCAGATCGCCCTTTTCATTGCGACGCAAGAACAGCTGGTTTCCCATCTTAGCCCAATAAGTATCTTTGGAGTATATGTTCTTCAGTAGCGTTTTCGACAAACCAGAATCCCTCAGAATGCGGAAGGTCCGGGACCGAATCTCGAAGTTTCCTGGTAGCCAACCGCTGCTTGGTTCCAATGTATTCAGGAAGCTTTGAGAACCTTGTCAGCTTGCTACCCTAGCTTGTGATATCTCCATAACTTTCTTGGTCTTATTTTGGCCGAAGTCGTGTTCTTCAGCGCTCTGCTGAGATTTACAAACATTCCACGTACCACATTCGCAACGAGTGCTCTCCTGTACTTGTCGGTTGAGTCTGAAGAGTCAGGATTACTCATTAGTATTGCTATGGCTGACACACACCTGCAATATATGCTCCAAATCGTCGTCATCAATGTTGTCTCGCCATTCTTGGGCTTCGTTAACCTCATCACGGCTTCATTTTCTTGTGACACCCACGAAGGTGCCGTCCTTCTCCATACAACACGTTAATCGTCGTATTGCCGCCCTTCGACCCCTCGGCTTGCTTCAGACCCCACGAGATAAGCGCATCGTCTTCGATATCCGGACGGGAACGTTCGCTCAAGTCAAGTTTCTGGTTAGTGAATTGCGGCTGACCTGTCGTTTCGGGCCAGTGTAACCAATTGACTAGCCGGCGGCGAACAACGCGGCGGTCTTCGCATGATGTTGAGTTGTCGTAATAAGTGGCAGACATCTCGAAGGCATGTTGGAGAAGATCATGCAGCGTTGCGCGATGAACGAGATGAATTGCGATCAGGCCGTGCTAAGGCTGAATGCTGGGGCTGAGGTGATGCGTGGGGCAGGTTGCACCTGCATGCAGGCGGCGTGCGCTAAAGCAGTCAGTCAGCTACATCACCGTAAAGAACGCATCCAGACCGTCGCGCCTATTTCACACATTCCAAAGTTGGCATTGAACAGGTTCTTTATTTGCCCGCGGAGAGGTACGCACATGTCAAGAAACCTCTAAAGACTGAGTAATTGTACTAGACCCATGAGCTCGTCCACTAAGAAAGTACCAGGGCAGCAAACTTGCAAATCCAGATCACAACTTCCGGTATCACTTCAGGCTTACAACCACCTTTCTTGCCGAAACTCCCTTCTTCTGAATATGCAAAGCTTCTTGAATGGCTTCCAGGCCCTCTCCAGCGATAATGGGCTCGGGAGCTGCTCGGAACCTCTCAGTCGCGAGTGCTTCAGGCAGGAAGTCGGCGTACACGGCTTTACCGACAGGGGAATGCGCCACCGATCCGTACACGAAACTTGTCTTGATACCTCTCAGCTGTGACTTGATGATGATGGAGATCATCGAAGTGGCGAAGCTCCAGATAATCTGCAGTGCGACAAATCGCTTCGGTTGAGCAGGGATTGGATATGTCGCCATTGCAATACGCTTATTGCCTTTACATCTGCCCAAGACGTCTAGACAATGGAAAACTGCGTTCTCTCCAATAGACAAGGCTCCCGCGCATTCTTTCCCTTCCATGACCCCGACGATCTTGTCGACTGTAGAGGGGTCGTTGTAGTCGAAGACTTTGCTAGCACCGAGGGATCTCATGAGATCGAAGTTCTTTGGTGAAGATGTCGATATGACTTCGTATCCAGCGGAAACAGCGAGTTGGATAGCGTTGCAGCCTACGCTAGTCGAGCCTCCCCAGACAAGGACCGTCTTTCCGGTCGGTTTCGGGTGAAGTTGAGGATATTGCAGACCGAGCTGATCCTTCTCGAACAGCCCTGCTGCAGCAGTAGTGAAAGCCAGAGGTATCACTGCAGCAGATTCAAATGACAAGCTGTCTGGAATAGACGATGTGTTCCTTTCCAGGAGAACGGGAAACAGCTGGAATGCTCCGTATGCCGCGCTGTTGATCTTCTTGTCTGTACTGTGCGCCTGACCTAGAACACGGTCTCCTACTTTGAACCGTACCACTTTGCTGCCGATCTGAACCACTTCGCCAGCGACATCAAAGCCGAAAACAAAAGGATGTTTGATCCAACCGAACGCCATACTGGTGCCCTGGTCTTGCAAAACCCAATCAACTGGATTGATCGCCACTGCACGATTCTTGACGATAACTTCATCGGGCCCAGGAGTAGGAAATGGCGCTTCCGAGACTTCCATGCGTTGCTTCGGTGCTGGCATCCATGCTGCGAGATTGGTAGGCATCGTGTAGAAGATGAGGACTCGGAGAAGTGATTAGATGTGCGTTTTCAAGATATTGAATAATGATAAAGTTTGAAGTATCTTTCTTTGCAGCATGCTCAACACCTAGATTCCTTTCCATCTTATACTTCTACAAGCTCCTGGACTTGATGCCTGCTTGCAATGCAATCTCGTGGACGCGGAGCATTGCACCAATCAGAGGCCAGCGGACGTCCGTTTGGGCCCACATTTAAGCTACCTGCCGTCCGTAGGCTTACTTCGATTACTCTGACGCATACGACCCCAATAGGAAGAATGTGCGATTTAGTGTAAAAGCTCTGGTAAGATACGGCCCATGTATATAGCCGCCGACCTAAGTTCCTCCGTGCGTATCGTGCTTATGTTGCCACCAAGATCACTACCTATGGTCAGCATGTCCTAAACACTTCATCATCTCCTAAGTACGCCTGAAGCAAACCAGAGAGATGACAAATTCGCC